GCATGACTAGTAGAGCTGTTCATTTGGAAGTTGCCCATTCCTTGACCACCGATTCCTGTATCAATGCTTTAAGAAGGTTTTTGTGTCGCAGAGGTCAAGTGAAGCGCATCCGATCTGATAACGGAACTAATTTTGTTGGGGCAGAAAGAGAGTTGAAACAAGCTTGGGCTGCTGTTGACCATGGAAAGATTCAAAGAACCCTCCTTCAAAGAGACATTGAGTGGGCATTTAATCCCCCAGCTGCATCACATCATGGAGGTGTTTGGGAACGGCTGATCAAAATGGTTCGAAAAATTCTTTTCTCCATTTTGAAGCAACAGATGTTGGATGATGAATGCCTCCATACAGTGATATGTGAAGTAGAGGCTATTCTTAATGATCGACCCATCACCAAGGCATCCGAGGATATTAATGATTTGGAAGCTCTAACACCAAATCATATCCTGTTGCTAAAAGGAAACCCTCTCCTGACCCCTGGGAGTTTCACTGAAAACGATCTTTACATCAAACGACGCTGGAGACAAGTTCAGTATCTGGCTGACCTCTTCTGGAGTAGGTGGACCAAAGAGTACTTACCGATGATGCAGGAGAGACAAAAATGGATCAAGCCTCGACGAAGCTTTTCTGTTGGAGACATTGTCATCATCATGGATCGTTCAACTCCTCGAGGATTGTGGACTATGGGAAGAGTTACTAAAACGTACCCAGACAACGCTGGCTTTGTACGAACAGTTGAACTGAAGACTAGGACTGGGGTTCTAGAAAGACCCATATCAAAAATCTTTCTACTTCAAGAAGCTCCATAAGTTTTTGTAATTGTGTATTCCATCACAATTAGGGGCCGGAGATGTAGGAGCCGTTTATTTTGTGGGTTGGGCTTTCATCTGTGGTGGTGGTGGTGTTGGGTGCGTCACATGTGATTTAAGTGGGTCCTCAGGTGTTTCGGGAGAGATGATTACGCATGGGTGGCGGGATGAGCAGACGGTTTTTACCGCTCGCGACACCATGACAATAGACTTCCTTTTGTGACGATCAACTGGGAGCACTTGGAACCGCATCATGTAAAACGCCAGCTAACGCTTGTAAAAGAAAATAAACAAGACTAACGCACAGACAAAAAGAGGTTTTGATTTATGAATAGAAGCGCGTCAGAAGCCGCCTCCGCCCTCACCCAGCTGGCTGACAACAGGAAGTGTCAGCACATAGATATTAACTTGTTAAATCAAACACATAGTGATCTGTTGTAGATGAGGTCTGAAATGGATCATTGCAGGAACATTATTCAATTTAAAGCCATTATTGCTTAAAGCACAGATCACCCAAACATTTGATTTAACATCTTGTTCATTCAACACATTGGATTATTTCAATTTATAAGTTGTACAGTCACGTAGGAACTTTGAGGTGGGTGACTTTTATTTAGAGTGAGTTTGCAGCAGTCTGGCTCCTGCATGAAACCTTTGGTGAGAACGTTTTGTCTCCTTGTACGGTAACAAGAACTGGGCAGAACTTTCTGGATTTGGAGGCCAGATAAATGGTGGGTTTATGTCAGCAAATGAAAGGTTACTTTCTGGTCAATTTGTTGGTGAAAATTTGACCACTTGATACGTTACAGTGTCCTGGGTCTCCCTTTAGGTCTCCTCCCATTTGGAGGTGTCCGGAAAACATCACCAGGGAGGCATTGTAATCAGATGCCTGAGCCACCTCAACTGGGTCCTCTCGATGTGGAGGAGCAGCAGATCTACTCCGAGCCTCTTCTGGATGACCAAGCTTCTCACCCTCTGCCTACCTTCTCTAAGGGAGAGCCCAGGCACCCTGCGGAGAAAACTTATTTCAGCCACTTGTATCCATGATCTTGTTCTTTCAGTCACTACCCAAAGCTCGTGATCATAGGTGAGGGTAGGAACGTAGATTGACCAGTAAATCAAGAGCTTTGCCTTCTGGCTCAAGTTCTCTTTTCACCACGACAGACCAGTACAATGCCCGCATCACTGCAGACACAGTACCAATCTGCCTATCGATCTCGCGCTCCAGCTTTCCCTCACTCATGAACAAGACCCCGAGATACTTAAACTGCTCCACTTGGGGCAGGACCTCATCCCTGACTTGGAGGCATTCCACTCTTTTCCAACTTAAGACCATGGTCTTGGCTTTAGACCTGATTGTCATTCCAGCTGCTTCACACTCTGCTGCGAACCGCTCCAGCGAAAGCATGAGATCACTTCCTATTAAGCCAACAGGACCACATAATCTGCAGAAAAGCAGAGACCCGATCCTCAGGCCACCTAACAGATCCCCCAAACACTAGAGGGCCTGGTACACCATACTCCCGGAATATCCCCGTTGAGGGGCGCTGTCGAAGGCTTTCTCCAAATTCACAAAACACATGTAAATTGGTTGAGCAAGCTCCTACACACCCTCCTGTGTGCTTCATGAGAGTAAACAAGGTGTCCACACATGATCCAAAGCTTCTTTCACTGTATTCAGGACATGGTGGGTGTAGAAAAGATGGTAAAAACATTGATAATAGTGACAGATGTAGCAGAAATGTAAAAAAAAAAAAAAAAAAAGCAAATTTTTTTTTAAAGCTGGGCAGACACGTTACATGTGAAACTTAAAGGGGCATTATGGAAGTTTGACAGCCAAAACATGTATAGAAATAATACATTTCTTCTTCATACATTCTCCTGCAATGCCCTGGTCCTGTAGAATGAGCCCTGGCATTTTTACTGTGATTGCCTGTTTTTCTGTAAAATCACAGAAAAAGAGAGCTGCTCGGGTCAAGCAGGCTGCTTCATGCGCGTTCACGCTCACGCATAGGCCCTAGCATTTGCTATCCGTAGCTTTAGCAGCAGAGAGTGAGGTAGTGCCACTTTGTCGCTGTTCCTAACGCCTGGTGACAAACCTAGCTACATTTCTGAGGACCCTTAGCTACTTTCTGTAGAACTTTCTTTTAGATATTTCCTGCAAATTAGCAACAAAATAGCCATTTTCGCTCTGAACCGTTCTTTGGTTTGATGTTGTTTCAGGTGTCATCAAGGATATAAAAGTTACAGATGCTATGAATGTTACTGGTGTGTAGCTCACCTTGTAAGATGTCTGACTCTCATGCAGAAGACCTTTGATTCGATTCTGGATGTGAACATAGTTCATTTAGAGTTTCGTTTTTACATTGATGATATATTTTTTTACAGTAAGATGCCCAAATTTTTAGACTCGCCGAACGAAATTGAATTCACAGATGAAAAAGATGTGGGTTCAACTTTCATTTTGGAACTATTTTTCAAGCAATTGAAGGGAATGATCTGAGCATGCAGGAGGACTGACCCATCATAAACCTTTGTCGGCTGTGCTGAAGAGAACGAAATGAATTTCGTACAACCCCAAATTATTTAATTAATTAGCTGCGTGTTCTCATGTCCTCTGTCCTCCAGGCAACACACACACAAGGGACTGTCTCAGCTGTTATTTTTGTTAAGGAGTGTGCACGTACAGCATGCGCGCCTCGTGCACGAGCCTACTATTGAAGCTGCCGTTACGCTTGTGGCCTCAGGGGGCAATCACGAGCATAAAAATTCAAAAGTCCGTAAAGTCCCTTTAAAGTAAAAGTGCATCACGTAATTGATATGAAAATTCCAGCAATCATAATGAAACAGCATTATTAAAAGAGGAAATCTTTACTTTTGAAATCTACACAAGTGTATGGTTTTCATGAAGCAAAGAGCAAGTTGCAAGATGAAACAAAAACAGGGTTCACCTGACAGCCTTTTCCAACTGTGTTGTTTCTGTGATTTAAGTGTTTTGGCCGAACACCAAAAATGCACTTTGGGTAATTTTTGGTCCAAACTTTTCGGCTGCCACATTTCCAGTGCATCCCTAGTGTTAACAGTCCAGGGGAAGAGGGATTCGGGTTTAACACTACCTGGATAGAGAGGAGCTGGGAAGGGATGATGCAACCATGCCCCATTCAGCTGCCTACAATAGCTTAGCTGAGTTTAGTTGAGCTGAAGGGATGAAAAAGCTGAGACAGGAAAATGCATGCATGAATCAAAGAACCACTTTGGAGATGATTTTCGTGAGGAAATGATAGCTAAGTTTATTTATAAAGCACCTTCCATAACATTTTCTTCAGACCAAAGTGCTGCACACAACTACAAACACGATATGAACAAATATGGCTGTTGTTGTTATTGTTGTTGTTAGCCTCAAGGGCAACATGCTGATTACCACTTGTAAGTCGCTTTGGACAAAAGCGTCTGCTAAATACATAAACATAAATATTATGTTGTGGATCATTATTAATTGCCAGCTATTTTCTGATCAGAAAACCTCTTGACTGCCAGCGTTTTTGAGAATTTTAACAGTTTTTTTTTAAGTGTCACAGTGCTCTATCACCAAGTAAAGAACAAACTGCCAAAAGGAAGAGTAGACACATCAGGAAGAATCTGTGTGTTTCTAGCCTATTCCATTCTTTCACAATCCATTGTCGACGTGTGAGCTGCAGAAGCCTTTCCGGTTAGCACCTCGCTTTTTTAATAGCAACGTCCCAAAACTACAAGTCCTCAAAAAATTAGCATATTGTGATCAAGTTCATTATTTTCTGTAATGTATTGATAAATGTAATGTACTGTGCAGTAATGCTGAAAAGAGGGAGCAATGACTTGAAGTGCCTGTATACAGTTAGGATCTTAAATTTAGGTCTGTACTGAAATGGGAGCCAGTATAGAGCCACCAGCATGGGAGTGATGTGTTCCTGGCATCTAGTGTGTGTCAGAGATATTGCAGTTGAGTTTTGGACAAGCTGGATCCTTGCGACCATGCCCTGACATAGACTGGCGTACAAGGCATTGCAGTAGTCCAGTCGAGATAGGCAAAATGCATGGAAAACATTGTTACAACTCCAAAAAGCAGATTTTGCATGATAGTGTTTTTTCAAATATTTTAAGCTGCACAAACATTCAGTACTTTATTTTATATGCATTTATTTTTTTCTGCTGCAGGAAGAAATTGGCTTCAACATGAACATTTTGGACCTTGGAGGTGGATTCAGCAGCTCTGAGACTCCGCTGGAAGTGGTCAGAATGCTTGTTTTGTTTTATACTAATTAGGAACTTGCTGAGTACTAAAGGATTTATTTTTATTTTGAAGTGTGTTTCTGTGTAGAAGTTATAAATAATTACTATCTTAATGTTTTTGATTGCTTACCTGGTAGCCTCATGGGCGTCGCACCCGTGGGGGTTTCAACATCCACACTTTTCTTATTGAGATTGTTCAACACCCACACTTTTCCAGCCGTTTTGCTCACCTCCACACCAGTCTGGTTTCTCACACTCACTCTGTTTGCCTCATCTCCTTCTTCCCCTCCCTCTTCTGTTTCTCCTTGAAACCCGACAGCCGATGTCGGGTTTCAAGGAGAAACAGGAGAGGGAGGGAGGGAAGAGCTCGACTGAATTCATAATTTTTCATCTTGACATTAGCTGTACATTTTTGGGTGAGTCACGGTAATTTTGGACGGGCCTTAATAAGCAGTGACTTAAGTGATGCAGGCAGGTTGCGCTAGAAAATTTTGTTTATAAATGTGTTCCCCCGTCATTTTTATTTCTAAAATATGAAGTAAAAACTCACAATTTAATTTTAATTCATTTTTCATAAATAGGCACCAGAATGCATTACCTGCACTTCTAATATTTACCTCTCAACGTAGGACTCTATCATAAGGGTACATACACACCGGTAGTTTTTACTGTTATTCATGGGGCAAAATCTTCGACATTTTTGGGGAAAAAAAAATCATCTTCCTGTAAAAGCAAAGCATCCAGCCCACCTCTCCAAATGCGTAAAATGTGCATCACAGCCACTAGGCGCGCCACGCGCACCATCAGCTACGTCAGCCCCATCGACATATAAATATTGGACAATGGGTTTCCATAGACTCCAATAACACATTTTTGAAGATAAATGGGAGGTGGCCACCACCGCCATTTTGACCGTGTCACAGGTTCCGTCAAGCCCAGACAATTCCACAAAAGGGAAGAGAGGTGGAGCTGAGGGTGTGGCTGTAAGGCTGGGATCAACTGACGACACCCGGTCGAACTAGCTACAAGCTAACCTGAAGCTAACCCAAAGCCAGCGCGGAGGTGGGAGCTAAGCTAACAGAGGTAGCAACCTAGCTACAACCGGAGTTAACTGTGCACAACACCAGAGCTTCTGAGTCAGAGATACGTCGGGCTGACCGCTGGGTAAAACCGGGTGGAACACAGAGGTCTCCGAGAGCTCCACAAGCCGGCAGCCGCACAGCAGACAAGCGCCGCTGCGATCTGAGATGCACAGAGCTGCCGCTGGGGAGAACCGGGTGGAAAGGTTTCCTTCCCAGAGCTCCACAAGCTGGCAGCCCGCACAGCAGACAGGAGCCGCGATCAGACAGAGATGCACCGAGCTGCGGGGAGGGGAGAACGGGTGGAAAACCGAGGTCTCCCGAGAGCTCCACAAGCTGATAGTCGGAACCCAGCTACACCAACATGTTATATTTCAACCCATTTTCTAAGGTGCAGCATTATGTTAAATGCACTGGGGTTTACCCTATTACATTTAAATTTCATGGTTAAACAGTACATGTTAAAATCTAAGCTCAGCTCGGCAGTGACCTAAAATACATAAATATAATTTTACTTACCAAAAAAATGAAGTAGATCAGTCAAAACCGCCAACAACGAAAAGACGATAGATCGTCCAGCCCTAGTTTGAAGTGTGATCCGCTTTGTGCCATTCTAAAGAAGAGATGAAAGCTTATCAGACAACTTTTAATTTACTTTGCAACCTGTTAATTAAAATGCTACACAGTCAAATAGAAGTAGGCACGTAAATCCAAAAATAAATTGTACACAAAAATGACTTGTGTTCACAAATGCATCCAGCTAAAATAGTCTTTTTTTCCTACACAAGGCTCTTGTTCACAGTCAGGTAAGTCAGCATTTCGAAATGTTCTGGAGAAAGATTTGCTCTCTTGTGAGAGCAGATGTTCCCAGCTGCAGAGAAGTTCCGATGGTGTGGAAGTGGCAGGGATGCACAGAAAAGATTTAGCCAGCCTAGTGTGGCTAAATGTTTTTTGGGCAAGTGTGGGGAAATGATCCTCATTTTCACTCCACCATCTTCACTCAGGAAATGCCGTGACATACCTAGGTATGCCTCTGTTGGTCAGGGAGCAGTTGACAGCTCCGAGGGTCTGCTTTACCTTAACTCATTAACTGCCAGCCGTTTTCTGCTCGGTTTACAAGTAGCTGCCGGCTTTGCAGCAGACACTTACTCAAGAAAAGAGGATTTGTGTATTTTAATGTTAGGTTTATATTTATTTATGTGCAGTTCTGTTTTTTATTCAAAATTTTAGATTTTTATTTTACTTATTTCTTCTTTCACCCGCATTGCACTACTGGCATCTGTCTACCTATGCACCTTATTCCTTTTCTGATTTGTTTATGCTTCCATAGCATATTATTTTTGGGAACTATAAGTATTTCCATTTGGATAAACTTCTCTGCTAGTAACAACTAAGTTTATTCTCCAATCAAAATCAAACAATTCTTCCCTGGAAAATTAGAATATAGTTGTTAAAAACTTCTTCTAGCAATAACCTGAAATGAATTTCACCAAATAGCATGCCAAACTTCAGCTTACCTGTCGAGCAAGAGGTGTCTGTGGGGAGCCCAACCTTCACTTTCAGCGCATGCCATCATTGAAAAGACTTCTAAAAGCCTTTGGTCTTGCATTATTTGGTTCTTTTTTTAACACAGGAAAAGGTTGTTTTACCTTTTTCACTGACAATTTCGACCACTCCTGCGGACTTCTTCAAAGCTAACCGCTGTTAACATCTGTTTATCCGCAGGCAACAAAGAACGATGTTGCCCTCTGCTGCCTGCGCTCTCCTCTCCGAAGTCCCATTCTTGATCCAATGTGTAGACCCCATTATCTCTGTTCATGGTTGTGTGTCCATTTCTCCTTATTTCTGTGGCTTCCTTAGTCCATCATATTTTTGTTGCTCTGTATTTATGATCCTTGTTCTGTCCGAGTCCATTATATGATTCTCTTTTGTGTAGTGGTCTGTTACGGCTGATTTCTTTATTGTACTTTCTGCTTCTTGTTTCGCTGCTCTTGTGTGCCTTTGACTTGTTTCTTTCTCACCCTCTTTTCTATGTTCTATTGAGGAAGCTATTCAGTGTTTAAACTCTGTTCCTGAGGATTGATATGGAACTCTTGCTCCGAGTGCTGACCTGAGTAAACCTTTCCTGCCTTTTTCAGATCAACAATGCCATTATGATGATGGTGGATGTGTATTTCCCATCTTCCACTGGAGTTTCTATCATCGCTGAGCCTGGAGGCTTCTTTGTATCTTCTGCTTTCACCCTTGCTGTTAATGTTGTCTCTAAGGAGGTGGTGGCCCGGGACCTGCAGGGCCCGGAACACGGTCAGTAGCTTGAATCTTTGAGATCATATTAAGCAATATATTTCGATTTCTTCAGAAGTTTCAAAACTGATTATTGCCGCTCCAGACTTTTTGCAATCATTTAACCCTCAGGCGTCACCAGGGCCATTTTTGTCCATTTGAAGGTTATTTTGCTTTTCTTTTGGACGCCACTTCACCCTTGTTTGTGCATATGGTATAAAATGTTGTTGCAAAACCTCTCTCTGGACAAATTTCGAAATTCTATTTGGAATTTTGAAAATAGACTAAGGGAGCACTATGGAAAAAAAAACACTATACACTTGTGACCTTAAAGGACAACAATGTCCACTTGTAAACACACACCTGCTTCCTGTTTCCCTAATTGCTCCTCCCTGTCTATATAAGCCCTGTCTTGTCTCTGTGTTGTGTCGGTCCCAATGTTTGCTGTCAGTGTGTTTGTATTCTGTCAGTCTTGTCTTGTCTCCAGTGTTTCTTTGATCTCAGCCTTATCCAGCCTCCTGTGTTTTTGGCCTCTAGTTTTTGAACTGCCTTTTGGATTTGCAGGCTCCCAGCCTTTTGGATTTATTTTAGTTTTTGGCTCCTCCAATAAAAGGATTTTTCTTTATCTACTCCTGCCTCGTGTCTTCCTGGGTATCTGCATTTTGGGTCCAAACTTTCCCTCCAAACCGTGACAGAATGGACCGACCAACCAGGACCCAGCGGATTGCCCGGATGTATGATTTTTATGGTGACCTGGACTCCTGTCGGACTTTTGTCTTGGACTTGGTGGGGTGTTGTGGCCCGAACATGTTGGACACCAAACAGATTAAGACGGTGCCCCATCTAAGGGGAAGAGCCCTGCAATGGGCCAGCCGTTACCTCAAGCAATATCCCTTAGAGGAGTTGGATTTTTGGGATTTCGCAGACGATCTGCGGGACGCTTGCAGCAGCCCACAAGCTCCCTCCTTTGCAGTGGATCACAAGCTGTCAGCAAGCGCCATTGTAAGAGCCGTCCTCTCAGCATCTTCCAAGCGCCACACCTCCCCGCCTCTGACCATCAGAACCGGCTTCGTCTCCTTCTCCCCTGAACCAGTTGGCGCCGTCTCAGCACCTCTGATGGGCCAAATCACCACACCCTCACCTGATCCCGACAACGCTGCCTCTTCATCCCTGGTGGGTTGTTATTCCTCCTCATCTTTTGTTTCTGCCGTCTCCACACCTCCGTTGACCCAGGACCCCCCACGTCGACGACGACGCAGCCGCCGTCAGAGGTCTTCTGGGGTCAGCGCATCGCTTCATGCTCCAGCGGTGGTCCCGAAGGTCGCATTGCATCCTGCTCCAGCGGTGGTCCCGAAGGTCGCATCGCATCCTGCTCCAGCGGTGGTCCCGAAGGTCGCATCGCATCCTGCTCCAGCGGTGGTCCCGAAGGTCGCATCGCATCCTGCTCCAGCGGTGGTCCCGAAGGTCGCATCGCATCCGGCTCCGGCGGTGGTCCCGAAGGTCGCATCGCGTCCTGCTCCGGCGGTGGTCCTGAGGGTCGCATCGCATCCTGCTTTGGCGAGGGTCGCATTGCATCCTGCTTCGGCGGTGGTCCCGAGGGTCGCATCGCATCCTGTTCCGGCGGTGGTCCCGAGGGTCGCATCGCATCCTGCTTCGGCGGTGGTCCCGAGGGACGCATCGCATCCTGTCTCGGCGGTGGTCCCGGAGGACGCATCGCATCCTGCCTCAGCGGTGGAGGACGCTCAGGCTCCGGTCCAGCCCGTCCACGAGGCTCCGTTCCAAGGGTCGACGGCTCCGGTCCAAGGGTCAACGCCTCCTAGCTCTGAAAGAGATGTTCCCGTCTCCAGCTCTGAAGCAGACGTTCCCGTCTCCGGCTCTGAAGCAGACGTTCCCGTCTCCGGCTCTGAAGCAGACGTTCCCGTCTCCGACTCTGAAGCAGACGTTCCCGTCTCCGACTCTGAAGCAGACGTTCCCGTCTCCGACTCTGAAGCAGACGTTCCCGTCTCCGACTCTGAAGCAGACGTCCCCGTCTCCGGCTCTGAAGCAGATGTTCCCGTCCCCGGCTCTGAAGCAGACGTTCCCAGCTCTGAAGTGGAAGCCTCCCCGTTTCCTGTCTCAAGTCCCCCAGTCCCAAGTGTTCCTGTCTCAAGTCCCCCAGTCCCAAGTGTTCCTGTCTCAAGTCCCCCAGTCCCATGTGTTCCTGTCTCAAGTCCCCCAGTCCCAAGTGATCCTGTCTCAAGTCCCCCAGTCCCAAGTGATCCTGTCTCAAGTCCCCCAGTCCCAAGTGATCCTGTCTCAAGTCCCCCAGTCCCAAGTGATCCTGTCTCAAGTCCCCCAGTCACAAGTGTTCCTGTCTCAAGTCCCCCAGTCACAAGTGTTCCTGTCTCAAGTCCCCCAGTCACAAGTGTTCCTGTCTCAAGTCCCCCAGTCACAAGTGTTCCTGTCTCAAGTCCCCCAGTCACAAGTGGTCCTGTCTCAAGCCTCCCAGTCACAAGTGGTCCTGTCTCAAGCCTTCCAGTCTCAAGCGTTCCTGTCTCAAGCCTCCCAGTCTCAAGCGTTCCTGTCTCAAGCCTTCCAGTCTCAAGCGTTCCTGTCTCAAGCCTCCCAGTCTCAAGCGTTCCTGTCTCAAGCCTCCCAGTCTCAAGCGTTCCTATCTCAAGCCTCCCAGTCTCAAGCCTCCCAGTCTCAAGCGTGTCTCCCGGTCTCAAGTGTTCCAGTCTCAGTCCCGGTCTCCAGAGTCCCAGCCCCTGTCTCCAGAGATCTTTCCTCGTCCTCCTCCTCCAAAAGCCTCTATCCCCAGGGTTTCCTGGTCCCGCCTCCTGGTCCCCCTTCGCCGACCCCCTAGACTTCTCTGGTCCCGGCTCCTGGTTCCCTGTCGCCGGCCTCCCGGGGTCTCCTGTTTCCCCCCTCGCCCGCCCTTTTTGGTTTGTGTTTTGTTGGTTCCCTCCTCTCCCTCCCTCTGGTTTTTTCGTGTCCTGTGTTGTCTTGTCTTGTGCTTGTTGTTGTTTGTTCTTGTTTGGGCGTCTGGTATCCGCCCCTTGGGGGGGGGGGGGGGGGGGGTACTGTCATGTTCTGTGTCCCTTTGTTCTCCAGCTCCTCCAGTTCCCACTCCAGTTTCTCCTTTTGTGTTCTCTTGGTGCCCTCATGTCTCCTTTGTCTGCATCTCTGTTGTGTGTCAAGTTGTAGCTCCAGCCTCTTGTTCCCCAGTTCATTGTATGTGTGTGTGAGTTTGTGTGTGTCAGTATGTGTATGTGTTTGTGTGAGTCCTTCCCTTAGTCTTTAGGTTTAGTTTTGTGTTTAATATAGTTTTAGTTTTATCTGCCCTCCACTGGTTCTCTTCCCCATCCAGATAATTGGTGTCACCTGCCTTCCCTCCAGCCTCACTCCACACACCTGCTTCCTGTTTCCCTAATTGCTCCTCCTTGTCTATATAAGCCCTGTCTTGTCTCTGTGTTGTGTCGGTCCATTGTTTGCTGTCAGTGTGTTTGTATTCCGTCAGTCTTGTCTTGTCTCCAGTGTTTCTTTGATCTCAGCCTTATCCAGCCTCCTGTGTTTTTGGCCTCTAGTTTTTGAACTGCCTTTTGGATTTGCAGGCTCCCAGCCTTTTGGATTTATTTTAGTTTTTGGCTCCTCCAATAAAAGGATTTTTCTTTATCTACTCCTGCCTCGTGTCATCCTGGGTATCTGCATTTTGGGTCCGAACTTTCCCTCCAAACCATGACACCCACCCCCTTCCCCCCTCTCTCCCCACCTTTTGTCTTTCCCTTTCTCTTTCACCTCTGTCTCCGTGTCTGGTCGGAATTACAAGCATTCAAAAACAATAACAATAAAGTTTTAAGTATCAGGCGTGACATTAAAAGCAGACGCTTTGATGCTCCACCTGAGAATAAATCTGTAAGGCTTGTTACCAGCATTCGGACATCAATTCTGTTTGCTTCACAGCCAGACAGGACACGGTAAAAAAAAAAAAAGTTAATTAGGTGATTCAGATGATTAGGTTAATAGTTCGTTTAGAGAACTTTTTCATGATATGCTGATTTTTTGAGATGGGAATTTAGGGTTTTGATGAGCTGTATGCCAAAATCATCAATATTAGAAACAATATAAGGCTTGAACTACTTCAGTTGTGTGTAATGAATCTAATATATATGAAAGTCTAATGTTTATCAGTACATTACAGAGAATAATGAACTATCACAATTTGCAAATTTTTTGAGAAGGACCAGTGGATTATTTTATTGTTTACATCAGATAGTAAAATGAAAAATTTTCCACCACTAACAGATGGGTTGTCCCCCAATGAGGAGCCAGAATTCCAATACCACATGAGTGAGGGGGTGTATGGATCCTTTTCTAGCAAACTCTCTGAAGCACAGATTCTAACTCCATCCATGTACAAGGTGAGTCTCAAACATTTGCTCTTCTTTTGAAGAGATAGCCACTATTCAACTTGTCTTTTCCTTTATATTAATCATAAATTTGACGTTGTCTTGCCGTGATTCAATGGTGATCTTTCAGAAGACGTCCCTGGATGCTCCAGTGTTCAGCAGCAGCCTCTGGGGTCCCTCTGGAGATGCGCTGGACCAGGTGGTGGAGCACTGTCTCTTACCTGAGCTTGATGTAGGAGACTGGCTAGTGTTCACACAAGCTGGGGCCTATGGTCTGGGTCAGCTGCTCCTCCCCTCCACTGATTCAACACCACCTCCTGTCTATTATGTCATTTCTTCTAGAGACTGGCAAGTTTTTCTCACTTTTATGTAATTTTTTTATTTTGTTCCTCTCTTTTTGCTGACTTGTGTTTTTCCTCTTTCAGGTTTGACATGCAGGACACTGGTGTCCCTCAAGCAGCTACACTCAAGAACTTCTCAGTGGTCCCTTATTTTCTCAGCTCCTGCCAGACAGAGGCTGAGCTGTCTGTTCCTGCTTAGCATCTACCTGACCTACAAGTCTTCAGCTTCCAATGCTGCTACCATCACACGATGTATACTTCACTAACGGGACCAGCCTGAACAGACCTCAGTATATAATGTATGATTACACCTAGAAAAGCACAGAACATGTTGGTTAGTATTCAATAAAACATATGAATCCAAATGATATTCATGCATTATTCTTTGTGATTCAGTATAGTAAGTAAGTAAGTAAATATTATTTATATAACACGAATCACAGACATAGAATCACAAAGTGCTTCACATAGATCAAAACAAAACAATGATCTCAAAAATGAAATAGATTACTGCGCATTTGGAGATTTTCGTCGTTTAACAACCAGACGACATCCTTTTCAAAATAAGAGCACCTGCTGACGCGCCGCCGAACGGTACCGGGGTCGACCCTCTAGACGGGCTTTGAAACGTTGTGACCGCTGCACCGACAGCTCCAGCGTACACCCGAGGTTCTTGGACCTGGCATTTCCTGATCTACCTGGGAGACCCCCCACTGGGTACGTACACGGCAAAATAGCGGCTCATGTCATCACTTTATAAGCCTCGTGATATCTAGTCAAAGACTACCAGATTCAATTACGTCATCCTAAAGAGTCTGAACCAACCACACACACGCACCAACATAACATCCATATCCATTTTCATCCATCACAGAGTTAGTCCTGGTAGATTGTTTAGAATTTATAATTAAGATATTAAAGATTCTCAAACGATCCCATCTCTCTCTCTTTTCTTGTCTCAAAGTCAATACAGAGTGTTTAATTAAACTCCCTGATGATAAAAACAGCCTATTCTTCTGTTTATAAGAAGTGAACTACTTACAGTGTATTAAAATACAACTCTAGATAGTTACATCACTTCAATTCCGTTACATATATGGCGAGCCTAGCTTGATATCTGCACAGTTTATTACACTTTGTGCCGATTTTGAGACATTTTGGGATTTATTTTTGTTCAGTGTGTGTGTTAAAGAAAAAGGCGAGCGCTTCCTCATTCAGCTCTCAGAAAGGGGGGTGCACATTCATCATCCTCCAACAGGAGGCGCTGTTTCATCAAAACACCTTAAGTGCTGACGTGTGCTCACGGCCATTTTGAGGCCTACATCTAAGGGTAAACATTTCTCCTGTTTTATTGCATTGGAACCGTCTGTTTATTGTTTGTCACGGTGCTTGTGACACTGTGTGCATCCATTTGTGTAATCGGAGACAGAAGACTCCGTCGGAAATTTGTTTCCGTTCGATAAGCGCAGGATCCGCGCTGTTCTTTGTCGGAATTCTCGTTAGCACCTACCGTAGCTTAACTTGCTCGGTAAACGCTGTCAGTCGGGAACTACCGCAGAGCGATACTGCATCCAGATTGCGTACGCTGTTGAAACCCTTTCAATCACGGAGCGAGATGCCCGTTGGTTGATCGAGGCAATTTTGAGACCCTGGTCGCTACAGGGCGTTCGCTAGCATTAGCCGACGAGCTAACTAGCCACTCTCGGTGAGAAGGCTCGGGAACGCGTCCCGCGCAGCTTTCTAGCCGTTCCGACGCAGCGGAACTGCGTCCTTTAATCCGCTAAACCTTCCGGTACGGAGTACTTTAAGGTAACGTTAGCGGCGGTTCTGAAAAACGCTACGGTGTTTAGAATCGTGAGATTGCTACGGGGATCATAGCCGGGTGTCGGACGACGCATGCGCGGCGGTCCGCCATCTTAGGTGCCCGACACGTAGCTCGACCCGCCATCTTGGGCAGGTCAAATGACAATGATATTTTTGGCATTATTGAACAATTTTGCCCAAAATATTCATTCCACAGCCAAGCTTCCCTGTAACTAGTTCTTTAATAAGTCTACAGGTAAGGTAGTTTCTAAATAAACATCTAATTACAAAGCAAAAACGACGAGTGAATTAGTAATTAAAACAAGAAAAAACTGATTACTATTTTGGAAAATGGACTCAGAGGTAACGATGCACTTAACATCCCAAATTCAGGCGGCGATGCAAAGCGCTCTCCTGCCAATGGTGCAAAGCGCTTTCCTCCCAATGATGACTGAGATGAAGAACATGATGAACATGATTTGCGCTCTTCAGAAAGATGGCGAGGACGTCAAACAATTCATGCGTGATTCTCAGGCGACACGGGCATCAGCTCCGTGTTTGCCTGAGAAGCCACAAAATGAGACTGAAATGCTGCAGGCTGATGTTTTCACAGGTTCTGATTCACAGGAAAACAACAACACTTCAAAGGAAGGCGACAACACCTCTCCGGTCGTTCCATCCGTGGCGATGTTAGGCGATGAACCCGCAGATGACGACCGCAGTACCACTACTGCTACCGCCGTGACTGAGAAAATTTTGCTTGCACCTCTGGTCGTGAGAAAGGGATCTAATAGGCCCACAGTGGAGGTCACTGTAAATCAGAGACATCGCTGTGTCGCATTATTAGACACAGGAGCGGACATCTCGCTCATCAGCGGAGCTCTTTACAGCAGCATGTGCGAACAAAGGGGGGAGGACAGCTCACCCCCCACACTCATTTCGGGCCCAAAGGATTTTGGCGAGTTCTATGGCGCTCCCTCGTCCGCGGCTGCGACGACTGAGGTCAACATCTCGATAGGAGGCATGTCCTTTAAACACCTCGTGTACATCAGCGAGGAGATGACGATGCCCATGCTCATAGGGTTGGACTGTCTCCAACGCCTTGACGCTAGAATCAGCTGTGCGTCCGGACAACTGTTTGCACGTGTGAGGAAGCCAAAGCCGTACAAACCGTGGCCTGACACAGGCGGACGCCCTTCTGTGGCAAGTCTTTCGCGGGGGGACGCGATTTCGACCTCACCGCCACTCTCGAAGCCACCGGGTAGACCCTCGGAACTTCTGTTACAGATTGAGAAGGTCATAGACCAAGCGGATGCTCTCACCAACGATGTCGAGCGAGACCGGCTAAGACAACTTTTGCTAAAGTACCAGGATTTTCTTTCACTTGACTCCTTGGACTGTGGTCTGACCACTATCCATGAAGTCCGGATTCCTACCAGGCCAGATGCACCGCCGTCCTTTGTGCGGCAATACAAGATTCCCCTGGCGTCCATAGAACCGGTCCAGGAAATCATTGACAGCCTCTTGGCTAACGGGGTCATTCGACCCTGCAACAGCACCTACTCGGCTCCGTTGTGGCCGGTACTGAAGCCTAATGGTAAGTGGCGACTAACCATTGACTACCGGCAACTCAACAAACAGGTCCCCTTGTCTAGGTGACCTATGTCACGCCTGGAGCAGGAGCTTCCAAAAGTGAAAGATGCTAAGTACTTTTCCACCCTTGACATTGCGTCCGGATTTTGGACGATTCCCGTCCACGAATCGGATCAACACAAACTTGCTTTCTCCTTTGCCAACCGGCAGTACACCTTCACCCGGTGTCCTTTTGGTTATTCCAACTCGCCAGCTGAGTTCAACATCTTCTTGAACAAGGCCTGCCCCGATGCTCGAGAGCGAGGGACCCTCATCTATGTCGACGACATTCTTATTCGTCGGCGTACATTGGATGACCACCTGGCCTAGCTGGACCATGTCATGGGTCAGCTCGCGGCGGCGGGTGCTAAGATCTCTCTCGCCAAGGGACAGTGGTGCAGGTCGCGAGTTCAGTACGTTGGCCTCCTTGTGGGACCACAGGGAGTGCAGCCTCAGCTTGGCAGGATTCAGGGAGTTGCAACCATCACACCTCCGACGAACGTCTCCGAACTTCGCAGCTTCTTGGGGGTCTACAACTACTCGCGTCAGTTCGTGGAACATTACGCTGAGTTGGCACGACCTCTGACTAATCTGTTGAAGAAGGATGTGGCGTTCGAGTGGGCGGAGCAGCACCAGCAGGCCATGGATGACCTGAAGGCCGCCATGTGCTCGGCTCCGTGCTTGGCGCTTCCCGACTGTGACAAGGAGTTCCATCTTGAGGTTGGTTTCTCAGCTCACTGTTTGAGTGCTGGTCTCTACCAGATTCATGACTGCGACAGGCGTGTCGTGGCCTATGCTAGTAAGCTCTTGACTGGACCTGAGTTGAAATACTCGGACTGTGAAAAGGCTTTGCTTTCCACCATGTGGGCAGTTAAGTACTTTGCGAACTACATTGGCGGACAGAAAATCATCATTGAGACACAGCACCAGCCGGTGACCTTCCTTAACAGTCAGCGCATCAGAGATGGTGTGGTGACCAATTCACGAATCGCTTCGTGGCTGCTGGCTCTTCAAAGTTTCGACATAGAGGTGCGCTACGCCCAGAACCGACATAGCCCTCTTGGCATGGGTTTGGCTGTGTGCCAACATTGCTCGGACGACGCCATCGCGTCAGTCCCGCCAGCCAGGCCCCCTCAGGCTCTTCTAAACCGCAACCACCACTATTACGACCAGTCATACTGTGCGGGTTTACCGACCGTATACGTGGATGGCAGTGCTTTTCGGCACGGTTCTGCGCCTAGTGCGGGCGTGGGTGTCGTCTGGGTTGACGGTGACCGCAGGGAGTCCCGATGTTACATTCTGGGTGAGCAGACTTCACAGTATGCTGAAGTAGCGGGGATCGTGATAGCGCTAAGTAGCGCTAGGGACCGTGGCTTCCGTGAACTGGTGATTTGCACTGACTCGGACTACGCGCGTCTCAGTTTCTTGTGTCATCTACCAACGTGGAAGAGTAACGGGTTCCAGACCGCTAGTCGGAAGCCCGTCAAAAATCAGTTCCTCTTCAGGGCGTGTGACATTCTGGTGACTGCACTTGACATGCACATTTACTGGCGTAAAGTCAAAGGTCACTCTCGCGCACCCGGTCCTGAAAAGGAGTTGAGCGATCTTGCAGACTCTTTGGCCAAACAGGGCGCGACCGATGGTCCCCTGTGGGTTTTCGAACCCGGGTGGCTTGAGGGACATGTGTGGTCTTTCCCTGATGAAAACCAGGTGTGTGTAGTTACTCGAGCTCGGGCTGCTAAAGCGTCCGACTCGGAACCACCCAAAGGTGCGGTGGCCGTTCAACCTGCCTATTCGGATACCGATCTTGTCAGTCTTCAATCCCGGGACCCTGCTATCAGCAGGATGATCAAGTACATTTCTGATCCTAAAACCCAGCTACCGACTTCCGTCGAGCTTGATTCCGTTCCAGAGCTTCGCTCTCTCTTTCGTGTGCGGTCCACGCTGAGGGTCGTCGAAGGGCTGCTGATGCACGCCGCCAAGCCTCCTTCGCCGCCTGTCCTTGTTACTCCAAAACCGCTGAGGAGGGGCATGATCTCGCAGGCTTATGACTCTCCATCCGCCGGTCACAAAGGCGTCAAGGCCACGTTCGGTGCCCTGTGCCAGGTTGCTTATTGGCCGGGGATGCGTCGTGATATCTCGAACCACTTCGAGCGTTGCTTGGTTTGTTGTCAGTTTCAGCCGCCCAACCCTACGCACAGAGCTCCCCTACAAGAAAAAGGGCTGACCACTCCATGGTCGGACTTGCAATTCGATTGGGTGGGGCCTCTGACCAAATCCACCAGAGGGAGTAAGTACATACTGACTGTCACCTGCGCATTCACCAAATGGGTTGAATGTTTGCCAGCACCTGATGACACGGCTAAGACTACAGCGATCCTCTTGCTAAATCACGTTTTTGCCCGCTTTGGTTTGCCCACAAGGGTCGACTCGGACAGGGGTACCCATTTCACCTCTGACGTGATGAAACATCTTTGGGAACTGTTGGGTGTCAAGGC